GAAGCTGATCCAGCTGAGCCGGGTTCGATTCCTCCACCTCTCTCAGAGAGCCCGGCAAGCTACTGAGAGTATCTTGCCCACACAGCAAAGCCTGGCAAGCTACCTGTGGCGTATTCAATATGCCAAACACAGTAACAACAAGTCTCACGATGGAGACTTTACTGGGCCTGCTCGGGCAAATGGATGAACAACGGGAGGACCGTGACCATGACCACCACAGCGGGCAGGGCATTTGCCTTGCATGCAGCCAACCCGGCCCATCTGAGTTTGATTCCTCTGCCTTTGATTCCTCCACCCCTCTCGAAAAGCCTGGCAAGCTACCGAAGAGTATCCCGCCTGCACAGCAAAGCCTGGCAAGCTACCCGTGAGGTACTCGATATGCCAAAGACAGTAACAAGTCTCTCACAATGTTACTGGGCCCGCTCGAGCAAATGATAAACAATGGGAAAACAGTGGCTGGACAGTGACAGTGACCACCATCAGACATTTGGAGAAGTTAGAAGTTCTATATTCTAAAACTGTCTATATTTTGCTAGTTTCTTATCTACATGCCATTGAGTAAACTGGGGTTTTAAAAATGAGTTACAGGGCCCATGAGAGTGCACAAAATGCTGTTTCCATGCTTTGTACACAGGGTTGGTCCTCGGTTGGGTCCCCAGCATCGTCCTCTAGAACTGTCAGGACCCATCCTCCCAAGCACTGGCCGGGAATAGCCCTTGAGCACCACTGGGATGAGCATCCCCAAACAAACAAATGAATAAATAAGTACAAAAGTATGATAGAAAAAAGCTGAATAGGAAGACACAGAAGGATGGAGACTAGAAGGATGGAAGGAGGAGAGGTTTCTCTTTTGCTTTTCATAGTAGTTAGGGGAATGCATAAAAAAAGAGAAAAAAAACAAAAAAGAGAGGAAAATCTTTATTGATCCTGTGAAGGAAGGAAAGCAAAGGAAAAATCTCTCAAGGAGAGTTTTAGGAGAGTTTTGGTTTTATAAACAATCAAGCATCTGCTCAGAGAAAATTAATTTACAAGGGACCTTGATTAATGAATCAGTGATTTTGAGACATATATTGGCAGTCATTCAGATCCTTGGAGTTTGGAACCCATAGATTTTAGATCAGCAGAGACATTAAATATGTTTTCAAGATCTTATCAGGAGTAAAAAGGCAAGTCTTGTGGGAAGACCTTGGAAGTGATGGAAGTCCCAGGTTAAAAGTGCTGGCTGGCCATTTGCTTTAGGAAGGAAGGAGCAGATAGAGGAGGCATTGTGATATGGTTTTAAAAAAATGTATCTGTGATTATTTTGAAAACTAGAGGACAATTTGGTAGACTTGATGGGGGAAGGTGGCTGGGCAGTGGTAAGGTCAGAAAAGCAGGTGGAGGGATGTGGGAGTATGGGAAGGTGACAGGCATGATTCAATACCAGCAAGAACCAAAACAATAAGCAAACCAAAGCCACTTTCCCAAGAGTTACTGAATTGGGCCAGGGGAGCCAATGAACTGGTATCACACCTGTTTATTTTTTACTTTTTAAATTGTTAAGGGGCTTTTGGGTAATGTTTTTGAGTAATACCATAATGCTCAGGGGTTGCTCCTGGTTCTGCACTCAGGAATTATCCTGGTGGTGCTTGGGAGACCATATGGAATATCTGGGATTCAATCCGGGTTGGCTGCATGCAAGGCAAACACTCTAACCACTATAGTATTGCTCCGGCCCCTGGAGCCAATTTAGATCCATGTATGATCTGTTTTTTTTTTTCCTGGAGTTTCAGCAGTAGGAAAGCAAGGTTGAAAGATTAGCATCAGCATTCTTGGAGGAGTTGGAGTTCTCTCTAAGAGCTTTGTTATAAAAGTGTAAAGCAGGTAGGTGAAGTGAAGGTCACCACAGAAACAGCCATCAGCTGACTGAGCTTACCCTCTGATCTTAAGAGGGTAGGTCCTCTTCTGGGTGAAGGTAGGTCCCAGAGAAGTAACTGGATCCTTTTTTCTTTGGAGAGGACGATGATGGGTGGAAGGCAAAGGTAGCAATTGTATGGGGAAAAGGATAGATAATAGAAAATGATGTCCTAAGTACAATAATACTTTTGGAAGCAGTTGAATGTGGGGTATGGAAAGCAGAAAATGGAGAGGGAAGAGTGAGGGTAGCTCTATATATTGATAATATGTATTGCTAAACTTGACAACATGCTTATTATACAATATGCAGATTAACTGTTAATCATTAAAAGAACAGTAACCTTAGCTATAGAATATTCCATTTTCCATATGATAAAAACAATGCATGGAGAATTCCTATAAATGTTTGAAGGCTATAGAAGCAGAGAAGTGTGGAGGTCAGAATGATAAATCAGGTGAGCTCTTTCCAAAGACCATAGCCACTGCGAGGGACAACTTCTAATTAACCAGAACAAGATAAAGAAAGAGAAGAAGCACTTATTGAAGCTTAGAAGTTATTATATAGACGGAACAAGAAATGATAGAGATGAGGAGGGAAAGACCCCTCTGCAAAGAGAGATTTGAGTGTTTAATTTTTATTTATTTTTAATATATTTTTGGTTTGGGGGTCATCCCCAGTGGTGCTCAGGACTTACTCCTGGCTCTATGCTCAGGGATCATTTCCGGCAGGGCTCTAGGAGCTATATGGGATTTTCCACATACACGGCAAATACCCTATCCACAGTACTATTGCTCTGGTCCCTGAGTGTATAATTTTTAGAGACAGAAACTTTTTCAATAATTTTTAACAGTTGCAAAGATGGCAATAATCAGTGAACCCTTTTTAAAGTTTTCCCATGTAACCAACTCTAAATATTTTATAAATGCATCTATTATGTATATACATTATTTCCTTGAGTTTTAAGAACAATATTTTGTTTCATTGAAATCTCCAAACCCAACACATGGTAGGTGCTCAGTTGAATAAATCTAATAATCTGCCTTTACATTTAGGCCATTCCAGGTCAGAGGCCCAAGTCCAAAACACAGCTGACCCTCTGTATTATGCCTTCATAGATTTATCTGTCTAAAGCCATTTTGTTTATTCACTTGTTCATTATCTCTTCTCTTTCTCAGCAAACCCCTCTAAGAGAGCTGACCTCACTCATCTTGTGCAGTTCTATACTTGTATCCATCCCTTCGCTCCATAAGAGTAACAATCAATACTTGCTGCAGAAATAAAAGAAGACAAGCCAGTTTTATATTTTAGGCAACTATTCTTCCACACTGATGTGCAAAGAAAGGTTCAAGCAACTCTCTCTGTGCCTGTTCTCAAGGATCATGTTTACCTTCTTATGGCTGACCCAGTTATTCATTTACCCAGGTGGGCTTCGCCAGAAGCCAGACGAACAAGAGTTCTTCATTCTGTTTATTTCACATGAACAGAAAACATCACCAATATGACCAAACCATCGATCTATAAAACCTACTTTTTCATCCCATACCTGTTAAGACAACCACCATAAAACAAATGGAAAATAAGTGTTGGCAATGGCATGGGGATGTTGTAATCCCTTTGCACTGTTGGTGGGAATGTAAGTGTGGAAAGAGTACGGCAGCTCCTTAAAAAGGTAAAATTAGAATGTCTCTATGATTCAGCAAATGCATTTTCAGAAGAATCTTGCACAGCTATTTGTATGCATTCACAGTAACCAACATGAAAATCAGGGATTAGATCAGTGGGCAGGGCTTGCCTTTGCATACAGCCAACCAGTGGTTGATCCCTGGCACCTCATAGGGTGCCCTGAGTCCTGCCAGGAGTAATCCCTGAGCACAGAGACAGGAGTAAGTCCTGAGCACTGTTGGGTGTGACCTCCCCCTCCGAAAAAAAGATGGAAATCATACAAGTGTCTATCAATGGATGAATGGACAACAAAGAATAATGAATCCATACGTGAAATATTGTTCAGCTTTATAAAGTAAAGATATATTGTGTTTTGTTGGCTAGTTCTGTGTCTGTCTTTGGGGGGTCACTTCTGGCTCTACGTAGGGAATTATGAATTACCAGGAATTGAATCTGAGCATACCATGAACAATACATGCACTCAGCCTTTTGACATATCTCTTCAGTAAAGGAAATTTTGATTCATTCCATGATACAGATAAATCTGGAAGACTTTATGTGAGCTAGACAAGTAATGTGTCTGTGTAATTCCACTTACATGAGGTACACATACTAGTTAAATTCATACTAGTTAAAAGATAGAAAATAATGGTAATTTCAGGAGTTAGAGGTGGGGAGGAGAGAGGAGAGAAAGTTATTTAATGGGAGTAAAGTTTTGCAAGATGAAAAGAATTCTGGGTTTGATTGTGCAGTTAAGAGAATGCACTTAGCACCATGGAACTGATACACTTAGAACTGTTTCAGATAGTAAAGGTTGTTACGTGTGTTTTTCATATTTAAAGAAAAGCAGACCAGTAGCCAGAGAGATAGTACAGATAAGACACTTGCCTTGCGTGCAGTTGATTCAGTTTAATCCCTGTTGCCCTAAATGCTCCCCATTTGGTCACCAGGAGTGACCCCTGAATTTAGAGCCATGAGTAAGCCCTGTGTATCACCAGATGTGGCCCTCAAGACAAACAAATAAACAAACCAAAAAAGCAGGCTAAAGAAAAAGATGATTTTGGTAGTATGGCGTATGCCTCATTTTAAAAGTGAAAATCTAAAAGAGGATACTTCAGTGAAGTCAAATAAAATGCAGTGCATATATAAAGGAAGAGGGATGCAAGATTAGTAAAATAGCTATCAACACAAGCAGCCTGAATTACATAAACTTGTTGTTTTAAACTCAGTAGTGATACAAATAGGATTTTTGATCACTTCTTTTTTCTCTTTTTCTTTCTTTTCTCACTTAACATAATGCATGTTTATGAGCATTCTATACAAATTCCTTTAGAGATTCAGGACTTTGGAACCTGTGGATACTTTCATTCAGGAAGATTAGACCAGGTTGTGCCTGATACTGTGGCTCTGAAGTTCCAAAACCATGCATGCAGACACTCACCTGTCCACACGGAGCTGGCACACAATGCTTAATGCATCAACAACACCTTCTTCTTTCAGCTGTCGACAGCCAATGGATGTAGCAATAAAACATCCTGTTCTGCCTATCCCTGCACTAGAGAGATTAAAAAAGACAAAGGTGAAGGAAAGAAAATAACAAAGGTGAAACATTCTTTCAAAAGGGTACTTTAAAATTTGAAACAGACTTTAGAAAATAAAACATCTTTAGGATTATTCATAAAAGAACAACTAGAGTTCTAATGTACTAAGTATTAAGTATTATAAATCTAGCTCCATATTAAGTACTTACGTTGCATCTTTGTATTTGGTTATATCTGGTAGTATGAGCAGGAAGAATAATAAAAAGGCATTGCAATTTTATTGTTTGTTTTTTTGAATCAAACCTGGCAATGCTCAGGCATTATTCCTGGCTCCACGCTCAGAGATCACTCCTGGCAGTGCTTGGGGGACCATATGCAATGTTGGGCATTGAACTAGAGTTGGTCACATGCAAGGCAAACACTTTAACACCTATTCTCACTGGCTTCATAAAAATCATTTTACAAAGAATAACTGGGACTTGAATTTAGGTGAGAGAAAGGAGAAAAAAAGACTATATATAGGTCCATCCCAAATGTGAATCTGGAGGACTGAAGTTCACCAGTGAGAAAGCAAACTTCAAAGGAAAAAGTACCAGAACAGAATTGATTTAAGTATGGGGTTTAGTTTGTCTTAGATATAATGATGTTGGAGAGTCTAATAAATAACTAAAGATCCAGTTTTGCTTATAAGAGACTATATGGCCAGAAGCACATATTTACAAGTTATTTATATCCAGGTATTTGTTAATCATTAAAGAGAAACACTGGGAGTTTTTACCCATTCATCTACTTTATATGGGATGCCGTTCTATCAGCCCATTCTTAATATCTCCCTCTGCCTCTCTGTCTTTCCATATATCCATCTGCCTCTGGATGTATATTTTTCTCTGCTCCCTCAAGTACTTTCAAGTTTCAAACACTAACCATCATTATAAAATTTTATCTAGAGTACACATCTAAATTTCCTAAGTTTCTTCTAAACTCTAGACTGGCATCTCCTAGTTGGAACTCAAGATATTACTATTTTGTACTTGTTTCAGTTACATGTATTTAAACTTGATATCCAAAACAGAATTAATGAACTTTTTCCTCAATGGCATTACCAATCACACAAATTTGCAGCATAGAAATCTTGAAACCATCTCTCATATCTTCTCCTCTCTCACTTCCCACATCCAATCTGTTACCAATTCTTAATTTTCTATCAGCCCAAAACACGAGCCCTTGAAATTCATACTTTTCTTTCTGTAGACTGCTCATGTTTTCCAGTAACTCCTCATTTCATGATTAGTAAGGATGTTATTACGATTTCCAAGTCTCATATCTTTCCTTGAACTAATTCAAAATACACACAGCTGTTGGATTCACCTCTCTAAAATAGGGCCTAATCATAAAATTCTCTGCTTGAAAACTGTAGATGGTTTTTAATAATTATAGCACAATGTTTGAGCAACCTACATGCTGTTTGTGGCTCATATATGAGTGTACTAAATTTCAGGGTTTTTTCCCTATTGTGTAATCATCCTGTATTCTTTATGCTTTTGTTTCAATTTACATGGCATTAGAAAAAAATTATTTCCATACACCCTATTCTCATAATCATATACTTCATTTGGATACTGCTACTAAAACTCTCTTTCATCATCTGGAGGCCCTATTCAAGCTTTTCACTAGCTTCCCATTACAGAGCAAAAAAAAGTTCTTAATCTTGGGTTCATCAGTGAGCAACAGAGGTCAGTAAATGCCTTGAAACTGCATTATTCTTTTGCGTTAATTAAATTTCCTCTGTCAGAAATGACCCCTCCTTCATTTATTAAAATGAAACATTGTCATTTTAAGACTTTGTTTTACATTAGTTTAATTTTTAGAAGTCTTCTTTAATCCTCATAGCTTGAATTACTTTCTCCCATTTTGGCACTCAAATGGCATTACTTCCCATGTTTGGCCCTTGCTTTTGTTGAATATAAATGCAAAGGAATTCAGGGGTATAATAGGTCCCTTTTAATTGAAATGTCTTTTTAAAAGTCTATTTCATTAAAGAGAATTTCAACTGTACCCTTTGGATTGGAGGTACTGTGGTAACTATGAATGGGAGAAACTATTGCGTGTATGAGAATGGCAGAAGGAAAGGAATTCTGTATAACAACTGATATTTTATGCAACAATAAGGAGAACATTATTTGAGAAATAATAGGAAATAAGACGTAGGTCTAAGAAGGTACACTGGGGCCTGTAAAGGATCTTCTTTGGAAAGTCCAGAGGTTCAAATTTCATTTCTCAATCATAGTACTCTTAAAATTATTATTATCATTATTATTTTTAGAATTTGATGAAAGCTATAAACTTTAACTTCCCAGAAAAATTCACAAAACTTTATGTCCACTAATTTCTTCATGCAGTTTTAAGGTATTTACTGACCCTTGTTGCTTATTGATAGACCCAAGAGTAGGAACTTTTGCTTTATGTAATGGGAAGCTATTGAAAAGTTTGAACAGGGCCTCTAGATGATGAAAGAGGGTCTTAAGGACTAGCATCCAAGTAAAGTTGTCCTAGATAGCTGTACAGAGTAGGCCATACTGAGGGTAGGGTTTACAGAAGTGGGGTGGGTATTTGCAATTAGCCAACTATTTCTCCAGTACATGAATGAGGGCAAAAGGGCTGAACTTGGGTGGTTGAAAGGAAGTGATGATTATGGGAGATCTTTGAAAGGAAAATCAATCTAGTAATTGATTAGATAGTGAGGCTCAAGTCTGAAAGGAGGGCCAAAGATAACTGTCAACCTTAAATGTTGGATGCCTGGTAAAAAAGATGGTCAAATTCTTGGAAATAGTAACCAGAAGGGGAGTTGGTTTTGTAGGGGAAGTGGTGAGTTTGTTTTAGATATCCTGAGTATTTTATGATTTTGGGCAGGGGATAGTTCTGGTCTTAAAAAGTGATCATTGAGAATCGTCCATACTGTTTTCCAAAAGTGCTGAACCAGTTGGCATTCCCACCAACAGTGAAGGAGTGTCCCTTTCTCACCACATCCATGCAAGTACCGGTTGCTTTTGTTCTAAACAGTATGGACGATTCTCAAAAAATTAGAAATTGAGCTTCCATTTGATCCAGCAATATCACTCCTGGGAATATATCCCAGAGAGGCAAAAAAGTATAGTCGAAGTGATATCTGCAATTGTTTGTTCATTGCAGCACTCTTTGCAATAGCCAGAATCTGGAAAAAACCTGAGTGCCCAAGAACAGATAACTGGTAAAGAAACTTTGGTACATTTACACAATGGAGTACTATGTAGCTGTTGAAAAAGAAGAAGTCATGAAATTTACATACAAGTGGTACTACATGGAAAGTATCATGTTAAGCGAAATGACTCAGAAAGGAAGGGATAGACATAGAAAGATTGCATTCATCTGGGGAACATAAAGTAACAAAATAGGCAACTAACACCCAAGAATGGCCGAGATTAGTACCAGGAACTTTACTCCATGGCTTGGAGGCCAACCACACATGCTAGGGGAAAAGGGAGCTCAGATAGAGGAGGGAACACCAAATAAAGGCATTGGGAGGATCCTCCCAGGATGGGAGAAGCATGCTGAAAGTAGACTATAGACCAAACATGATTGTCACCCATTGCCTTTTTTTCAAACCACAACACCCAATAAGAGAGAGAGAACAAAAGGGAATGCCCTGCCACAGAGGCAGGGTGGGATGGGGGGTGGGAGGGATACTGGGATCCCTGGTGGGGGGAAATGGGCACTGGTGGGAGGGATGGGTATTTGATCATTGTATAATTGAAACCCAAGCACAAAAATTTGTAAGTCTGCAACTGTACTTCATGATGTCTCACTAATAAAAATTTTAAAAAAAAGTGATCATTGAGATTGTTTTTCCTCTGCCCCAAACTAAGTTTAGAATAAGGCCTAACCTGAAAACTACGCAATAATACCTTTGGATAAATAGATTTAGACCAAATTTTACTCTTAAACCACAAAGTTTCACAAAAAAGAGGCTAATATTATAATTAACATAATCTACTTTTTCAAAGATATTTTCAAAAGCTATCTTGCAAAACATGGAAGATTAAACCCAACATGCTACTTTAGTAAAGTATGGTGAATAAATATCTGGTTCTATAAATAAAAACGACTTTAATTTGGGCACAGTAACAGGAAAATAAGGTGAAGGGATATCAGTAATAGGAGGAGAGCTTTAAAGTCTGACATGAAGAAATGGAGCACCCATTTCTATGAAACGCATAGTCCCATCACGCCATTTTCTGCTAATGCTTGTTTTTTGTTTCAGTGAGCTACTGCCTGCCTACCTCTCAATTCATGCTTTTATTTCTCTCTGTTTTTCTTGAATTAACTTAAAATATAAACTGGTTTTCACCAGATTTGGACATAATAGCAAATGAGATGATACAAAACAAATATAATTTGAAAGGAATCCCCCCAAATCACTTACACACACACGCACACACACACACACACACACACACACACACACACACACACACACAAAACACCCCAAACCCCATACTAGTATAAGTGAGAGTGATGAAGTTAAATGAATTAGTGTGTCTCCAAGCAGAGGACTGAATAAAGTTTCCTGTACCCTGAAGTGGCATTTTCTCTTTTTCCTTTGTTTTCTTTGGTTTTTGTTTTGGGGCCACAGCTGGCAGTGTTCAAGCTTACTCCTGGCTCTGTACTCAGGGATCACTCTTGGAAGGCTTGGGGGATAGGATCAAACCGGGGTTGGCTGCACGCAAAGCAAGCATCCTACCTGCTCCATGAAATGGGATTTTCTGCATTGTGTAGCTGTTTGCTAAAATTGCTGCAATAATATCACTTCATCTCGGTAAAAATATCATCTGGATCAAGGCGCAATTATTAGGATGCTAACCAATTTCAATGAGTATTTACTTTATTGACAAAAGTACAAACAGAAAGAAAACTCAACTGTCTCATCTCTGACTTTATAAAGAATGAACAGTTATTTCAGGCAGAAAGGACAGTTTATGCCTTACCTGCAGTGGACAACTACAGGCCCTCGGCCCGAGGAGGCAAGCCGGTCTTCTTCTACATCCAGCATGAGTTGTAGAAGGGGTTGGGCACTGTCTGGAGTCTTGTGATCAGGCCATGAGGTGTACCAGTAATGCTTCACATGTTGGGTGTGACTTCCTTGCTGAAAATAGCAACAACCACCAAATTCCTCATTTACTTGTAGAACTAAAAGTCTTCCAAAGCACAATACTGAATGGATTTTATCACTCCAGTTTTGCTGGAAATTTAAATAAGTTGCCAGCAAATTTAAAAGTTCAGGAGATTTTTTTTTCCTTTTGGGTCACACCCGGCGATGCTCAGGGGTTACTCCTGGCTCTGCACTCAGGAATTACTTCTGGTGTTGCAGAGACCATGTGGGATGCTGGGAATCAATCCCGGGTCGGCCGCTGCAGGCAAACGCCCTACCCGCTGTGCTATTGCTCCAGCCCCCATTCAGGAGATTTTTGAAGAATCCCCTTTCACCTTGAGAAAACTTTACGATGAATATCTTAATGTCAAAGGTTGATGGCTTATCTCTATTAGGTGAGAATACTTAATACAGAAACCATCTGTAACAAGTGCTTAATACACCATTTTTGTAATCAACAAAATGGGAAATGAACATATAGTTAAGAAAAAGAAGGGACATATTGTTTTCTCCACTTATAGCATTCCTGCCCGATCACTCAAACATATTAAGCAATATATGAACGTACAATTTTGCATTACTTATACTAACATTTCTATACTTATCTCAAATTCAAACGTTTAAAAGCATTGAGTAATTGCAGTGGTAAATTTTCTATCAGGGCTTGCGAAGTAGGAAGTGTCTGATGGAGGGTCTGGGCATATGGGAAACCTAGGGCCAGTTTCGGGGTAGGCATGAGTTAGGGTACGCAAAATATAACTGAAAAGCAGATTTTAGTATGTGTCTTCTTACTATGAATTACTCATTGGAGTAGCTCTGTCTCTAGTCTACTTCTGTGACAATTTTGTTCTAGTAGTGAGGGTCAGAAATTCCCAGATTTATTTGACTTATGGCTTATGGCTTTCTTTTCAGAAAACAAAAACAAACAAAAAAACAAAACCTCAGCACTCACCTAAATCTACTTTTTTTTTTCTTTTTGGGTCACGCCCGGTGATGCACAGGCTCATTCCTGGCTCTCCACTCAGGAATTACTCCTGGCGGTGCGTGGCCGACCATATGGGATACTGGGAATCGAACCTGGGTAGGCTGTGTGCAAGGCAAACACCCTACTGTCTGTGCTTTGGCTCCAGCCCCTGAATCTACTTTCTTAAGCAAACAGACAGATCCCCCTCATATCACTGGGAGCCTCTAGTGCCCTTCCCCCACCCACCCTTGGTTCTGACACCCCACGGGGTGGTATCACCCACTTTAGGAAAATTTGACACTATTGTTCCCTAAAAGCAAAAAAACAACATAGCAACCACCCACAGGATCTACTGTCCATAAATAAAATAATTTTTATATGATGTGTGTAGTCCCGGGAAAGTCCCTACAATGACTATAACTCCAAGTTTTGGAAGATACCATCAACATTCAAACTTATCTTGTTTCCTGTGGCTACCCACAGATACAGAGTTTTAGTTTTCAGTTTCCAGGGCTTACTTAAAGCTGCTTAGAAACAAAGTGACATTTAAAAAAAAAATCAAGGCCAAGTCTTTAGCATAAGCCTTCAGTTTAAGGCATTCAGAGTTTAAATCAAATTTTGTTTATGCAAATTAGAATTTAACAATACCCTACTTTGTCAACTTCCTTAATGCATACTTACAGTAATTTTATTATTCCATATACTGATAAAAACTGAAAACTAAGAAATATGTAGGTGAATAGTACCATTTTTATTTGATTTTGACATTATTTAATTTGTTTAAATTGTATCTATAGTACTTATTAGAATTAATACAGTAATTTAAAATAAAAATGTATCTCCTACCATCACCCATTTTGTAGGTGAGCTGTAGTTTTGAATCTTACCTTTAAGACAAGGTTTCTAATGGTGTAGTTATCACATTCATTTACGCTGATAACCAGAACCTCAACTTTCCCATATATGCCTCTCTTTTCTGGCCAGTATAGTACACATTTCTGGAAAGGAAGGAAAAACACAGAAAATATTCATGGTTTTCATTGGCTTTGAAGTGCTTTTTTACTCAAGCATCTGAAACGCTTTAATTTAGTTAATCAAAATAAAAAGTGTCAAGTTTACAATCTAGTAAATGTCTTAGAACAGTTGAGCTATAAGTTTTAAACAAGGTGTGTAAATTTTATTTGAATAAATGTGTTCTTTAATAAAGTTTCAATTTTCACTTGTAGATGTCCAATCTTGTTGCCTCCCATCCTATACAGGAAACAATTAAGGCGAAATTTTCTAAAACTTCAAAGAGAAATGAAGAACTAAATAAGAAATAAATTATAAAACCAAGATTCAAATATGTTTATCATGTGAGGATGAGGAGTCACAAATGCAAAGAAATGTTCTCTCTGAGTGATGGAGCAAATCCTGCTTCATCAAATCAGTGCCCCCAAAGAGGATCAATACTTGTCAGAAGTCACAAACTGAAATTTCCTTAAAAGTAAGGTAGATGTGGCCATCATTATTATGCTCATGGTGATATATTTCCTAGGACCAATGATCTTCTCATTTAGGGAATCCAATAAAAAATGTATAATAAAAGTATATAAAATGTTTTTATAATGAGACTCCTTTGCAGAGTTTTTAAAAAGTAGTATTATTGCAAGCAAGTAACATACTATGTTAATTGTCTTTGGGGTCAGAGAGCCAGAGCCCACATTTTGTTTCCACCACTTATTAGCTGTGAATTCACAATCAAGATACTAATATTTCTAGCCTAGCTTTCTTCAAGATTTAGTACATAGAATACACTTAGGACAAAGCTAGGCATATCACAAGCATTTAAAATATGTTACTATTATTATAGTTATTAATTTTACAATTATAGATCATAAATCTGTAATACATAAATCTATAATTATAAATCTATAATTGTAACATTATAGATTATGGATTTTAAACTCAAGTGATTAGATAATTACATATTAGATAATGTAGTATATGGAATACTATATGCAAGCAACATTATAAAAGAAAACTATGAAATATGATTGAAGCTATATATAACTCATTATTTTGTCTTTTAAACTATGTGTACATATGTATATGCATATGCACATACACACACATATACATATATATAATTTGTTTTAGCTCACAGGGTTTGTCCTGGCAGTGTTCTAGAGACCAAGAGGTGCCAGGAATTAAATTGGAGCTTCCTGCATGCAAATTATGTACTCTATGCCATTAAGCCATCTCTCTGTGTTAGAACTAAAATTATTTTTACTCCATATTACAATAATTAAGAATGTTAAGTGTGGACATAAGTGTTTTATTTAAGGTACCCAGGGAAGCAATGCTAATTTTAGAAATACTGTTTCAAAGGCATTCGTTATTTCCTTCCAAACACCTACCTATGCTTACACATTTATAGAGAAATTTCTTTATTTGTTGTCTTTAGTAGCCTGAACACCTATTTCTTCATATCTATGTCAAATGAATAGGACCACAATTAAGTATGAATGGATTAAAAAAAACAGCAAAAGACTTAGAGGATTATAGAACTCAAGCAGAAGACCTGTCAAACACCAGCCAGACACTTCAGGGCATCATCCTGCCAAGTACCAAATACTTCTTGCGGGAGAGTGGCAAGGAAGTCACTTCACCTACTGCATTCACTGATTCTTTCATCCGCATAATAAAAAAATGTTTTCATCCTCTATGTTCTGGTCCTTTTCCAAACAAAGTAAATCATTGAACATCTACTTACATGCCACCCCACACCCAAGACTGGCAGGCAGGCAGGCGAAGGGCTGACTCCGGCTGACATAACATTAGGAAAAGAAACCTTTTAAAAATAGAGCAATTTATTTTCCTCCTCACTTACAAGTTGCCAAATGTCTGAAAATTTCCCAGCTTATTAAAAACTATACTAACCAATACGCCTGCGTTCTTTCACAGGAGCATCAATTATTTCGCTGTAAGAACCAATCTACTGTGCCTCTTACAACCCTCCCGTATGAGTCCAAGAAGTGACAGAGAATCTTGAGCAGGTATTGAGCAAAGAAAGGCATTCAGTGGTCCAGCAGTCTGGTGTCGGTGGTCCATTGTGGTCGATAGAACTGCAGTAGCAGACCCCCATTTAAAAAGGCAGCTCCTGCACCGGGTAGGTAAAGCTGCACTGTGACTCCCAACAACAATGTTCCTAACAGCTTGGGTTCCTACTTGGTAAATGGAAGTGCAGCTTGCCGGGGGCCCTCTTGAATGTTTTTCTTGACTCCTTACCAAAAATGCAATTGGCAGCCGGTTCCCACTAGACAATGCAATGTGACTGGTTCATTCAAACAACCCTTAATTAGCATCCCATCTCCTTTTTGAAGATACAATAGCTTATTTTTACACACTGAATACATTCCCCCGCCCCTTTTCAGAGAAGACAGAAAAAAAAAAGACCAGATAAGTAAGGGTGTTTTTAGATATGAGATGGAGAAGAGCTACAAATGTAGTTTTTTCCAAGAGCTTAAGCTAGGCTCACGTGATTTTTGTGAAGAGCTTTTTAGGGTTTCTGCATTGTGGTGCTAACAATGGTATGGAAGAGGTAGAAAATGCAAGGAAGAATAATAATCTTTTACAGATAATATTGTAAAGCCACACTAATAGGTGATTCAGAAAAACATGCTATTGAGCAAAAGCCCAAATCATCACTTTTCTTTGGCTAACTGGGCTGATCTTTTCACTAAAGTTTTCTATTAATCCAAGATCTCATAATTTGGAGGACAAAAGAGGTTTTTACATGGTAATGGGTTTCTAATGCAAACAAGCAATTAGTGAAGTCTAACTATAAAGATTCTGGAATTGGCCAATTCTTCCTAATCAGGGATTTATAGCGAAAGCAGAATGCAGTGCAAAACAATGAAATCTCATTTTTCTTCTCTTTTCTCCCTTTGACCTTCTTTCTTATCCCTACAAAATTAAGGCTATTTGTGTATTAAAAAGAAGCTCAATTTGTATGTTACTTGTCTGTAAAACATTTTTGTTTTCCTCTTAAATTCTGTGCATTTGAAATAAAAAAGATTTTTGCCCTCATGCTGCATGTATCATTTGTAGAACGTCTCTAAAGTAAAGAAAAAGATGCTCAATTTAGTTTGGGTTGAATTTTTAGCATATGAGAGGCATAGAATGGGCCAGATTATTTAAATTTATTATTTCATTTATTCTTAGTGTTCCACCTATACATTATGAACATTGGTACAGCAATTTAATATAAAAAATACTTTCACTGGGCCATGGATTTAAGTCAAATGGTAAGAGCTCATACCTAACAAGTATGGAGCCCTGAGTTTGATTTCCAAAACAGTATGGCCCTGAGCCTTCAGCATTGCCTGAGCACTGCTGGAGTGGCCTCTATAAAATTAAATAAACAAAAGTAACTTCTTCAGTATTCTAGCAGCTAATCCCTTCTACAATCATTTGATTTAGGCAGAGCAGATGGTAGAACTGCAGGGCAGATTCTATTATAATTAGAACCATATTTTTACCGTATCATTTTATAGCAAAAGGAAACGGATGCTCACATGTTTAGGTAGAGGTCTCTGAAATAATTCCCTTTGGACTGAGCTTTTAAGTAAATATCACACTTATTTTGGTATGCCTTTTTATTAAATTGAAGTGACTTGACAATGTACTACTATTTAAGTTTGAAGTGCACATTATTAGCAATCAGCTGGAGTATATAGCAGTCCAATTTGTATTTTTGGTTCCCATAGTCTCTTAACCTCTTTTTCTTTACCACAATATTGACTAATGCCTCCCTCTCCCTCTGCAAAATATGCTGATGTTCAGGGAACAGTCAATGTTCAGAGTCTACTCTTACTTATCAAGTTGGTCCTTCTGTTACTATTTACTCAGTTGGATGTTCACCAAATTATATTTATAATCAAAGTTCTTTATAGCCTTTGTATTCATTATTGGTCTAATAACAAATGATTTTTACATAAATCAGTAAGGTATGAGATGTAAAGAAAAAGGAATCATTCCCTGTAACAATTGCATAAGGCAAGTTAAAGAACAGTAAAGAAAACTACAGGTTTCAAATCAGGTACAGGTTCGTCAGTTATAAAAATGCAAGATTTGAAAATGTACATGAGAGGGTGTATTCACACTGTTCTTTTGGGTGGGTGGAGGGAGGGGCCAGGGGAAAATACTGGACTGTGTGCTGGGATTACTCCTGGCTCTGGGTTCTCTCTGCACAAGGCAAGCACCCTACCTGTTGTACTCTCTCTCTGGCTTAATGTTCACACATTCTACAAACTTCTTTCCTTCCTCATTTTGATGAAACTGAACTGGGAAATTTTAATGATGTTTAACAGAATGATTTTCACAAGCTGTGTGATCTCAAACTCCAGTTTTAGACCATAGCAAAAACAACCAAAACCTACAGAGTGAGTCCTGTAATAAAACCTGAAACACATGTTAATATGAATACATATATATATATATATATATTTTAAGATCAAATAAAACATTAGCGTTTTTGTTTGGGCGTGTTATTCCCCGCTCTGACTCCCCACCCCCCACAACTGTGTCAAATAAGGGACCTTTTAAATATAGCTAGAAGCAAAGCAGCAGGCTGAAGTAATTGATTCTAGACTAGCAGATTAAGCTCCAAGTGTAAAAAGTTATATTTGAAATACAAGTGTGTTTGAAATGGCAGGTGAGTCATTTTGCTTGGAGATTGGCAGCTTCTGAATTTCAGACCACACTTCAATATTCAGGCCAGCTTGACTGTCAAACTTGGACACACAGGAAATGAGATCAGTCTGCTCAGCGTCGCCCAGCCTCCCTCGTCGGACTGTTTCTCTACCTAACTCCTTTAGCGCTGATTCTTTAGGAAAGATGAGGGTCACTGACCACTTCTGTACTGTTTGCATGCCACGTGGATCCTCAGATGTTTGATATGGAGCTTGGTTTACAGATTTCTTCTCACTTTTGGCACAAAGCACAAAGTGTGGTT